CCTCGATAACAGGAGAACATGAAATAAGAAGGTGGGGGGAAGGGGGAGGTAGAAAGGGTGTTGGTAAGCCATTGAGGATTAAATAGTAGGCTTTGCTGTGGGTTTCTTTCTTTCTTTTTTTTGGGGGGGGGGTTCGAGACAGGGTTTCTCTGCGTAGCTTTGCACCTTTCCTGGAGTTCACTTGGTAGCCCAGGCTGGCCTTGAACTCACAGCGATCCGCCTGGCTCTGCCTCCCGAGTGCTGGGATTAAAGGCGTGCGCCGCCACTGCTGTGGGTTTCTAATAGGAACAGTATAAGAACTTGTAAATTGGTGCTGGTCTTTCTAGATCAGTGATTCTCAATCTGTGGTTGTGTCCTGTTGGGGTCAAACGACCTTTTCACAGGGATCACCTGAGATCATTGGAAACCACAGATGTTTACAATACAATTCATAACTAGCAAATTTATAGTTATAAAGTAACAATGAAAATAATGTTATGGTTGGTGGTCACCACAACATGAGGAACTGTATTAAAGGGTCACAGCATCAGGAAGGTTGAGAACCACTGCTCTAGATGGTCTGCCATTTGTACTGCATCCTGTCATCTTTTCAGCTAATCTTTTCACTCCTTAGAAGAAGAGATGGAGGAATGGGAGGAGACTGGCCCTTCTGCTCATCTGTCTACATGGTTAACTGTGTAGTATGCATAGAATTTTCCTACATGGTAATTACATGACAGCTGTACTTCCTACCCAAGAGATGCTGCCCTGCCACGCACACAGAAAATGGCATGTGAGGGCAAAGTAGCTTTCTCTATGCCTGACGAGGGTTCTAAGAACTCAAGTCTATTATAACCTGCATCATGCGATTTGGAGCTCCTAAAGCTATAAGTAAAGTTTCTTTAAGCTGTCCAGCCTAGGAGAATTATTACAGCAGTCCGTGCTGACTAATGCAGAATGTAATGATATCGGGCATATTTTGTATTCACGAAAACTATAATTTATATAGCTTGGAAAGGAAACACACAACCTCCTTTCATTGAAATATGAAGAGAAATGTCTTAGCTTGGTGGTGGAAAGAAGGTGCCATCGTTCTTGTTTTTACTTAAGCTTCCTAGATCCTGGAGTTTAGTTGCATGGTATAATGAGCATAATTGGATTTTTGAGCTAAGTTGCTGATGAGACCAAGGACACTTGACAGCCATTATTTGGTGGTGTAAGAAACAAACTAAGATACAAGGCTTCTCTCGTGTTCTTTTTATCTCTCTGTGAAATAAATAATCTTGTTGAATTCCTGTAGCAAATAGGTATGGTTTCTATTATCGTGTTAATGTTGTTACCGGTAAGCTTCATTCTAAATGAGAGAAGTAGAAGCTCACCACGGACTGTGGTTTTAGACTTCCCATTTTATGCTGTTGCAGAAAGAAAGGCTTTGAGCGACACCATTGTTAAGTAAATACATCTTTTTCATTGTTTCCTGTAATTGTATTCCAGTCCTACAGACACATTTCTAATGTGTTGTGGCTTAAATCAATAGACTGTCTCAGAAGAGGGCATTAGAAGTGGCATGAAACGGGGAGAATCCTGTGCAGATTTATATTGCTCTGTGTTCCATTATTGTTCCATAACAGCTACATTTCGGAGAGCCACTTTTGATCTGACAGTATTGGCTGCCAGTTGGCAGAGAGGATTCACCTAGATTAGGTGGCTGTTTCCTGTTTCTATGCACAGGCTTGGGGAAATGGGGTTTACTTTTCTCCAACTGTTTCTCAGAACATACTGGTACAAAATGTTCAGCAGTAGGATAATTCCTTTAAAAGCTACATCTGGTTACCCTCAGATAAATATTTCCATTAATATTTCAACTCATTTTGAGCCTTCTTGTAGTTTGTAGTATTTTTTTCAATGTATGTAGGTGGCCTTAAACCATATGGCAAAAGCGTTTTCCAAAAACCATTCAATCTTTGCCTTACTATGAACTATTTTCCTTTTTCCCTTGTCATTGACTAGCTCCTCTCAGCAAGCTCCAGCCCCCTTCTTCCTTTGATCTGATTCTGCTTATGCTGATGGCTTAGCTTATGTACTTTGGCGGACTCATACATGTTTTAGTACCATATTTAAGAATGAAATCACCTATTCCTTTCCTCTGTTTGGAGTGAAAATAGGTTTTTACTATTTTTAGGTAATATGCATTGAATGTTCCTGCAGCCATTGCCCTGTGCAGAGTCCTTATTATGCACATGATGCTATCTTTTGGGCTCAGTGGTTGTGTGTCAATTCACTTTAAAAGCTCAACTGCCTAGATTCTTTTTTCCCTATTAAATGATGCTTTTAGACACTTTATTTTTAAGTCTGTGAATACTTTTTTTTAAAAGATAAAAGATATTGGATGTGCGTTTGTAAATGACAAATGTGAGACCCAGACATTATGGAAAAACTTTATACGGTTTACTAAAAGTCTGACTTCTTACATCTTCAGACATCTGTCTTAGTAGGGTCGGCATTCCCTCCCATTTTTGACAGCTGCTTTACTGCAATCTTAACTCCCAAAGTGGATATTGGTTATGGTAGGGAAAGAATAGGAAATAACATAAATAATTTTACATCATCTATTTTGCCTGTTATGAGGACGCTTAAGAACATATATTCAATAATGTCAAAAATCCAAAGAATGTTAAATCTGAAAGAGACCACAGCAAGTTCTAAAGGCCGTTATCAGACAACCCATTCCCTATGCAGTTTTTTACATCCCCATGCCCTGGGTTATTGTGAAGTGCCTTTGCTTCCCAGGCTGCCTTGCAGAAATGCAGTCCTGTAGCACCCTTAGCCATATATGAACAATTCCCCAAAGAATGAGCATAGCATTATAAAAAATGGCATGTAATTTCCCCTACCATGTGGTTGAATCCCTTCCAACATATTTGATCATTCAGTACAGTGATCAGTATGTGTAGTTCTATTTATCCTATATATTTTAAGTATTTACTGGAAAAGATGTTACATTATTGTAAGAATGACATATGTATGTATTCTAGTGGGGTAAATAGTTGAAAGTATAACACTATTAAATGACTTTCATTTCAAGTGTTTTGGTAAGAAATGAATTAATTCTCACCTTTTAAGTTTCTTAAGTCACTGGAGATAAGAATAAACAATGTTGGTCTGTTACTGAAAAGTTGTCAAGGTACTTTGGATACATGGCTTTATATAGATTACAGGATGACTCACTTCACTCTGAAGCTGTCAAAGCTGTCAGACGACCTGCCTTATGTAGGGATATTGTCTAGTCAGTGTGATTAGAAAGGATTGATGGGGATGGAGAGATGGCTCAGAGGTTAAGAAAGGATTGATGATCTTGCTGTCCATAGGAATTGTTGCAGATGTAGACTACACTAAGTTGGAAGACGGAAAAATAAAGAGATGAAATTTATTCTGAAGAATGCATAAATCTTTTGATATTAGTGTTTCTCTGAGTAATGAAAAGAGATCATGATAGTGTAATTCCCATCTAATTTTTGTCTTCTTATGAACTGCTAATCAAGAGCATTTAGAGGAAAAATTTCAAATGGATGATTATAATCTCAAGTTATTTATATTTAGCACATAAGAGCTAAAAAGCAGAAAAGTTGGGCTGTCCTTTTTGTTTTTACTTTAGTACCTTTAGTGTAGGTCATCTGGCGCCTTAATGTCATCTTTGCCTCGATACTGCAGTCATGTTTTTCAGTGCTACTGAACGTTGAGTTCGTGGAAGAAGGGAACTTTTCATGGTGCGTCCTGGTTTGTCTATGGGGTTAATTTGGGACCCAGTCTGCCATTGTGCCTATCTGTCAGAACTCGCCATAATTTAAATGTTTGAGGTGGATGATTAAACTGTTTTAAGGGACTATCTTGTTTCTGAAGAACGTTTTAAGGAGAGAATGTTCTTTTTGAACTCACTGCTGATTAATGAGAAATATATAAAATATGGTATAACCCCATAAATGTAAATATTTTAGAAAACAGAAATAGATTATCCCTCTATTATTGTGAATATTCATGGTAATCCAGACCACCTTACCTGCGGTGTATTTATATTTTTGCAGAATGTCCTAAAATGTATAGATTATATAAAATTATTTGCAATTACAACATAATTGTTTTCAGACTTAATTGTTTAAGGATATTTGCTAGTTAATGTTTGCAGCCACACTTTACCTACCCAAACCATCCTAATTTTACTAGGGCAAACTGAAGATTATCAGGTCTGATGAAATGTTTTCTTATCCCTGTAGCTTAAATTATGGCATTTTGGGCATGGTTTATAATGCTTGTTTTTTTTTCCAAAATTCATTTCACTTTGTTTTATGTGCATTAGTGTGAAGGTGACCAATTCCCTGGAACTGGAATATAGACAGTTGTGAGCTGCCATGTGGGTACTGGGAATTGAACCCAGGTCTCTTAACCACTGAGCAATCTCTCCAGCCCCCTATAATGCTTGTTTTTGTCTGCCTTATGTTAGTTACCTGTGACTGTGTCTGCCTCTGTGCTGGCTTCCTACAAACCAATGACTGCCTTTTAGTGTTTCATAGCCCCTGTATTTTCAGAAAATGTGCTTGTTAAAGTTGTTGATTACCCATTCCCAGTTTTCTAAATCAGACTTACAAATCAGTCAGTGATCCTAGGTTTAAACAGGGAATCCGGCAGATATCAATGATGAGTTAAAGCTTTGTATTCAACATTACCAAGTTTGAGTGTTTATTTTACTGTTTGGTCTGTAAACAGGAAATTAATATCTTCAGTCTGCAAGAATTGTTGATGAGGATTAACAAAAATACTTCATGAAAACATTAATTTTGGTGCTTAATGTATAGAAGACACTGAATACAATGTACGAAACACTGTTACTGAGCTAAACCTTGAGCCCCTTGAAGGCTTGTCCTTGGTCTTTATATCTCAGTCACCTAACCTAGCATATGGTATATACTCAATAAACGCTGGCTGGTTCAACTGACTGATTTCCCCTATTTTATGTTCTGTTACAGCCCACTGTTTGTAACATGGAAGATTGGTCGAGACAAAAGATTGCGTGGATGCATAGGTACTTTTTCTGCCATGAATTTGCATTCAGGACTCAGGGAGTACACACTTACCAGGTGAAGACCAATTTTTGTTTCATTTATGTCTACTTATAAAAAAATCTTACAATACTTGAACCTAACACTTTAATTTGTTTTCATTTACTAAATTATTGACATTCCTCTCTCCTTTCTTGTTAGTTTTTTTCTTGGTATCCAGTTAACTTCTCTTACAATGTATTATTGCTGTGTATTATTATATAAAATGCTGTGGTGACATATATCTTGCCATAGATTGTGAATATGATCTTTTTTTTCCAGTGGGCAGCTTATTTTATATAACTTGAAAATGAATGACTAAATGTCCATGAGTTACCAAAAGTATTATTTCTGTCTTAACAGCCTTTACTGGTTCCCCTTTAGACCTTTCAAAAAGAGTTGTTTTTTTCCTTCATTTATGCATTTTGCTACACTTTTATGTGCTTTAAATTTTGAAAAGAAATCCTAGGAAGAAAGTGATATCACAGCCCAGCAGCATAATCATTCCCATTCACTCTTTACCCTCAAGTTCACTGTAGCTTGTTTATTTTGTTTCCTCTAACACAATGAGAACGTAATGAGCACCCCATTACACTTACTAAGACTTTGCTCTTAATTTCTCTACTCACAACAAGCTATCTAACATGCCATCTAATTTTTTTAAAAACACAACTTCTAGCAAGTTGTGTTCCAAAATTATTTCATAAGAAGAAAATGTCTTTAAGTAATGAGCTGTTAGTAAAGGTATTTCCTGGTTTTGTTCATGTGTTAGTGTGGCTATTTGACACATAGTTGTAATCCACACAGTATTAGTACAATATGAAATTGGTCCTTGCTAACTAACTATTGGTACTTGGGGGAAGTTGCATAACTAATAATTCAAGTATTTTTTCCTATATACTCAATATAGGTGTTAGAATGAAATAATCATTATTTTACCGCAGGATTAATGTGACAGTTAAATATCTTGTTGTAGAATTGTGTAAATTCAAACTTACAACACAAGTTAATAAAAAAAACTAAGTTTAATATTCTTGTGTTTGAAGATATGTAATAGCTCATAGCTGCAAGGTTTTTCCCTATCCATAGTGAATTGCAAGAAAAAAATATGCAATAGCTTGCGGGGGGGGGGGCGTATCTATTGTTGTCTCTTCTCAACTATGAGAAACAGGGTGCTTGGACTTGATTAGACAGCACAAAGCTTGGGAGAAGTCAAATATCTGTATCTCTACATCCAGCCATCATCAGTCTATATATCTATGTATCTATTTATCTACCTTTCTATCTACTTATCTATCTTTCTATCATCCACCCACCTATCTATTTATCTATCTATCTATCTATCTATCTATCTATCTATCTATCTATCATACCAATCATCTGTCTGCTTTTCTTTCTTTCTTTCTTTCTTTCTTTCTTTCTTTCTTTCTTTCTTTCTTTCTTTCTTTCTTTCTTTCTTTCTTTCTTTC